GATCTGTGAATTCTGTGTAGAAGTGGCTAGGAAAAGGAGCCTCAGTAACTGCTAGAGTCAAGGCGGCTTTAGTCATTCACATGTAATGCAGTTCACTTACTTAAAGTGTACAAGTTTCTGGGGATTTAGCTCAGTGGTTCCACCACCTGCCTTGCAAGTGGAAGGACCCGAGTTCGATCCCCAGTACCAAAAATTAAATAAAATAAAGTGTACAAGTCATTTTTTTTAGTGTAATCACAAAGTTGTAGAACCATTGCCATATCTAATTTTAGATTATTTTGTCCCTTGGAAAGAAAACCTGTATCCTCTTCTTTGACCTTCCTCCTATCCCTAACCAACCTCTAATCTAAAATTCTTCTCTAAATTAAAATTTCTTCTCTAAAATTTTGGTTATTGTGGAACATTGCTGTACGTGGAGTCATGTAATACTTATTTGTGGGGCAGGCATCGGAACCACTGAGCTGAATCCCCAGCACTATACTTATTTGTATTTAGCTTCTTTCACTTAACAGTTTCAGGGTTAATCCATGTTATAGCATGTTTTAGTTTTGTTCTTTGTTAAGACTGTTGTTCTTTATAGCTGTACTGTATTTTGTTTATCTCTTCTTCAGTTAACGAACATTTGGGCAGTTTTCACATTTTGGCTCTTGCTCTGAGCACTTGTGTTCCAATTTTTTTGTGGGCGTATATTCATATGAGTAGACTTTCTGGGTCAGATGATAACTATATGTGACATTTGTGGAACTGCCAAGCCACTTCCAAAAAAGCTGTACCATTTATAACCCAATCAGCAATGCGTGCACATTCCAGGTTCTTCACATTTTTACCCACCCTGCCAGTATCTTTTTGATTATCATTATCCTAGTGGGTATGCAATGGTTATGTCATGGCTTTGATTTGTATTTCTCTAATGGCTAATGATGTCAAGCATCTTTTGGGATTGTTTTATTTTCTTTTGTTTTGGTACCAGGGATGGAACTCGGGTCCTTGCGCTTGCGCAGCAGGTGGCCTGTTTTGTTTTTTGATAGTTTTTGGGTTTTTTTGGGTTCTGGGAATCAAACTTGGGACCTTGCGCTTGCAAGGCAGGCAGCAGAACTACTGAGCTAAATCCCTGGCCCTTGTTTTGTTTTTTGAGTCAGGGTCTTGCTGTGTAGTCCAGGCTGGCCTTGGACTTACTATATAGCCCAGGTTGGCCTCAAACTCACAGTGATCCTCCTGCCTCAGCCTCCAGAGTGCTGGGATTACAGGCATGCACCACCACATTGGGCTTCAAGCATCTTTTCTTTTTTCTTTTCCTTCCTTCCTTCCTCCTCCTCCTCCTTCTTCCTTCTTTGTCTCTGTCATCTTTGTCTTCTTCCTCCTTTTTCTCCTTCTTTTCCTCTTCTCCTCCTCCTTCGTCTTCTTCGTCTCTCCTCCTCTGCCTCCCCCTCCCCCTCCTCCCTTCTTCTTCCTTTGTAGTTCAGGCAGGCTTTGAACTCCCAGTGTAGCCCAGGCTGGCCTCGGCCTCTCAAGTGCTGGTATCGCAGACATGCACCACCACACCCAACTAAGCATGTTTTGATAGCCATTCAAATATTTTGCTCTTTTAAAAATTGGGTTACAGGGGCCAGGAATTTAGCTCAGTGGTTCCGCTGCCTGCCTGGAAAGCACAAGGACCTGAGTTAGATCCCCAGTACAAAAAAAAGGTTATGGGCTGGAGATTTAGCTCAGTGGTGCCATGCCAACTTGGCAAGCACAAGGTCCTGAGTTGGATCCCTGGTACCAAAAAAAAGAAAAGACGTTATCAGAACTCTCCTCTTGCTACTGACCTGTTTCTATCTTATTTGATTTATTCATTCCTTGAATATTTCTGAGCACCAGCACTGTGTGCCAGACATTGTATCTAGGTGTTTGACACTGTTTTACCAGGTTTCTGTTATAATGAATCCTATTACATAAATATTATATATGTATGTATATAAATTAAATAAATATTGCAAGAGCCCTGTAAGGTTTGGTTGCTCTTTGGACAGACATTTACTATGTGACTACAATGTGCTATTCCCAGGTACTATGCTAAGGGCTGAGTTAGGTATTATTATTCCCTCTTTTTCTTCTGGTAAATATACAGCTTGCCAAAAATTAGTCCAAATAGCAAGTGGATTCCAGACCTTTTTTTTTTTTTAGTTTCTGGCTTATAGTTTACCTGTATTAGAGAGAATGGTTCTATATAAATAGTTTTTTATTATCAATAAGCAATAACGGGGCCGGGGATTTAGCTCAGTAGTTCCGTTGCCTGCCCTGCAAGCGCAAGGACCCGAGTTCGATCCCCAGTACCAAAAAAAAAAAAAAAAAGCAATATTAAAACTATTTGTTTGGTTATCGCATGTACACATATGTTTTAATAAACTTTGCAATAATTTTAGATTTATAGAAAAAGTACAGATAATGTACAGTCCCTATATGCCCTCAGCCTACTTTTACTCAGTTTACATTAGCATAGTATATTTATCAACACAAAGAAACTGGCATTAGCCCATTAGCGGGCCTGGTGGTATACACCTATAATCTCAGCATTTGGGAGGCTGAGGCAGGAGGATCACCAGGAGTTCAAGGCCAGCCTGAACTACAAAGTGAGACTTTCTCTCAAAAAAAACAAAGCAAAGCAAAATTAAAAACTGACATTGAAACAGCACAATTTAAGTAGAAACTCCATATTTTTTTTAGATTTTACTAGTTTACACATTAATACCCTTTCTGCTCCAGGACCCCGTCCAGAGCGCCAGACTATGTTTAGTTGTCATCTCCCCAGGGTCCTCTGTGACATTTCCTCAAATCTTCTTATTTACGGCTTTTCCATTCTTAAGAAGCACTGATATCCAGTAGAATGTCCCAGTCTTAATTTGTCTGATTCCTTTTTTTTAGGTACTGGGGATCGAACTCAGGACCTTGTGCTTTAGAGGCAGATGCCAGAACCACTGAGCTAAATTCCTGACCCTTTTAGAGTTACAGATTTTTAAAAAACTTTTATTTTATTGGGCTGGAGATTTAGCTCAGTAGTTTCGCTGTGTGCTGCACAAGCACAAGGACCCAAGTTCGATCCCCGGTACCAAAAAATAAAAATTTATTTTATTGGTACATTTTAGGTATACAATATAATGACATTCATCATTGGAAATTTGCACCTTTACATAATCTCTCTTGGTTCTTATTTTTCCCCCTTCCCCTGCCCCCCCTTCAAGCCCTCCATCCCTCCCTATTTACAAAGGCTTTGTTTCCAATTTTTCCTTTTCTCATATTAATTCCATTCCCTTCTTTCCTTTCCCCTACTCCTCCCACTTCCCCTTCCCCTTTGCCCCTTTTCTTTCTATTTCACATTATCTATTATACCTTTCAGTCCTTAGGGTTATAGATTTTTTTTTTTTGTACCGCAGATTGAACTCAGGTCCTTGCACTTGTGCAGCAGGTGGTGAAACCACTGAGCTAAATCCCTGGCCCCGGGTTATAGATTTTTGAAGAAAACAAAAGGGAAGTACCCATCTCATGATGTCGTACCAGAGGTTACATGATATTCACATAAAATCACTGGTGATAGCCTTCATCGCCTAGTCAAGGACTTAAATATGAATTTTTTGGGCCAGAGATTTGGCTTAGTGGTTCTGCCACTTGCCTCACGAGCACAAAGACCCGAGTTTGATCCCTGGTACCAAAAAAAAAAAAATTAAATACGAATTGTTAGGTTTCTTTACTTAAAATTACTGTTTTTCTCTTTTGCTACTCTAAGTCACTAAATATAGCCCATCCTTAGTGAGGGTGGGAAATAAACTCCACCTCCTGTGGGAAGGAGTCTCTATACATATTACTTGAAATTGTTACTAAGAGAGATTTGTCTCTTTTCCTCATTTATTTAATCATTTATTTATGTCTGTATGGACTTATGTCAAACCTTGATCTAAAACCTGTGTTGTTTTGCTACACCAGCTAAAATATGACAAGAATGTATATCAAGGCAATGAATGGTTTCAGAGAATCTTATTGATTTCGGAGATTTTGAGGAGGTAGATTTGATAAAATTTGGTGTTCTTGCATGTGAGTGAGTGATGGAGAGGGAGTATTTGAAAATGATATTCATTGATTCGAATGATTGGAGTTAAATTTTTGGTTTGAACCTGTATGCTACCAGGTATGAAGATTGCTTCTGGGCTTTGATGAACCTCAGCTTTTTTTTTTTTTTCTTTTTCTTCTTTTGTATGGAAAGCTTCACGAATTTGCGTGTCATCCTTGCACAGGGGCCATGCTAATCTCTGTATCGTTCCAGTTTTAGTATATGTGCTGCCGAAGCAAGCACAACCTCATCTTCTTTACAGACTGTCAAGCCTACATGTGACCCAGCTCTACCAAGCAGCCCTTTCTTCTGCCAGTCAGGGTAGAGACCACTTCTTTCTGATTGAAAATCCAGGGCCCCCTAGTGGACAACCTCCTGGTCCCGCTGGGAGTCTGAAGGACTTGGCATGGGTTTTGTGCTTGTTTGGGTTTGGGTTTGGTTTGGTTATGGGGTTTTCTGCTTAGTTCATTTGTATAGCAGAGGTGCTTGACACTTATCCCCTCCTTTTCTCTTGTGCTGCTGGGACTGAACCCAGGGTCTTGCATACGCTGAGCAAGTGCTCTCCCACTGGGCTGCATCTCCAGCCCTTGATCCTATTCTCTGTCTGAAAAATTATTAACACCTTCCTGTTTCAGAGTTATCCATTCCTCCCCATTTGTAACCTTCTCATGTTCAGTAAGAGGACAGTGACCCTCTGACAGTCACTCCCACGATCTGGTACTCTGAACCAGAATGTACTCAATCTTATTTTTACTGGGTTACCTTCTAATTTTTTTTGGGGGGGGTACGGGGGATCGAACTTGGGTCATTGCGCTTGTGCAGCAGGCAGCGAAACCACTGAGCTAAATCCATGGCCCTTGGGTTACCACCCTCTTCTTCCATCTGGTACTATATTAATGTTAATTCTTTGTTTCAGAGCCATCATCAACCACTTTAATCCCAAAATTGAGTCCTATGCTGCTGTGAATCACATATCGCAACTGTCAGAGGAGCAGGTAAGCCACTACCCTCCCCAGAGTGACCTAGTTGGCAGCTAGGATCAAACAGTGGCCTTCTCTCTGGTGGCAGGAGAGTTTGTGACTGAGCTTTTGGCAGGGTGGAAGCAAGTCAGGCTACTGAGAGGTACTGGCACAGGATTGTTTATAGTCCTTTGAACAGAGCTACACCTTCTCATCTGGGCCCTCTGAAAGGTGTGTTTAATTATATAGACAATGTGTAGGTGAAAATGGTTCCAGAGTGGGTGATAAGGCATTTCTCTTTAAAGTGTTAGTCAGTCATTTTAATATTTGAAAGTAAAAAATGAGAATTTAGAAATAGAAGAAACTGCCAATTTAAAAAACCCTGAGTTCAGCTTAATTTGAAACTATTTAGCTTGTTAAAATATGAGCCCTCACTGGGACAGAGTCCTTAGTAACTGAGTTCCCTTTGCCTTGAGCAGTTGTTCCTGTGGAGGTATTTCTGTGGTAAGGCTTAACTTGGGGATGCAAATAGGCTTGTCTGTTTGTTTTTCCTGGGTCTGGCCTGATTTCTCTCTTCCTAAAGTGCCTGCACTCAGCTCTGCATTATGTAAAATACAGATAGGTCTTTAGCATGGCATGGGGTTGAATCTAATGTTTTATTCTGAGACACGTGTCCTGTTTTAAAAAGTACAAAACAAAACATTTTGTATGATTGGCTTCCTTCCCATCCTGCTGCCCAGAGGGAGGGGCCAGGGTACAGATTCCAAGCCAGTAAGAAGACCAGATGTGCTCAGCACCCCCACCTACCCAGCACATCGTTTTTTCTGAGCTTATTGGTAGGGCCAGCCAGCACCTGTGGTGTGACCATGTGCTTGAGCATTCCAGAGCTACTGTCTTCACCCAGTGAGGCACCAAGCAGGCCTATCCCAGCAGACAGGCTTCTCCTGTCTCCCTCGCCCAGCGGTCCTTTCCTCAGCCAGTTGGATAGAACCTATTAGTCTGTTAGTTGTTCCCTTCGACATATTTGTTCTCTTTTGTGGGGCCAGTTGTGTGAATCCATCCTCATATTTAAAACTGGTTTGTAAATGCCTTTCATATTTTCTTCCTTCTCTGCCTATGGTATAGTCCGGAGTCTTGTTCTTTGATGCTAGTCCTCTCTGCAAGATATTTCTTGGTGTTGCTACCTCTTCCTCTTGGACCAGTTCATGTCAGTTTTACTGTAATTTTTCTGCAGAATAATTGAATAACGAGTTCTATACAATGAGAGGAGTGACTTTCCATCCACAGTGAGCTCTGCTTAGTCTAATTTTTTTTTTAAAGGTGCATACATTTTTATTATCAGCCTCATGTACCTGGGGGCAGTTGGGCTGCTTTCTCCAGCAGTAGCAGCCACAGACCAACAATAAAAACCCATGCTGGGGCCAGGGATTTAGCTCAGTGGTTTTGCCGCCTGCTGCGCAAGCGCAAGGACCCAAGTTCAATCCCCAGTACCAAAAAAAAAAAAAAAAGCCATGCTGGTGCAACAGGCATCTGGAGAGGATGACCAGTGAGCACATGTCCTCACCTTCCTCCAGTTTCTGTCCAAGTTCAATGAAGTGGGCTACTGCGTTCTCTCGGAGTAGCCCGTTCTCATCCTGGGACATGTACTTATTTTCCTACTTTTACTGGCTCAGACTTGTTCTGCAGAGCCTATTTATTTTCCTAGCTTTGATAAATGTAAAGCCTTGCTACTGTTAAAAACAAAAAAGTTAAATGAAGTTATGAAAGCACCTCTGGAAGAGTCCACAAGCCAGGGGTGAGATGATCGCTGTGGAGAGAGAGAGTCCCAGTGCAAGACCAGAGAGGGAAGAGCAACCCCAAAGATTCATTTCCTTAGGCAGTAAATAATTACACGCCTGCCCCGTTACAGGATGTGGTGCTGGGGAGTGCGGGGCAGCGACGCATGCTCTTAAGTGTAGTCCTTGCTGTCATGGAAGTCCTTCCCCACTTCAGCGCTAGGATGAAACCTAGGGGCTTGGACGCACCAGGCAGACACTACCACTGAGCCAGTCCCCAGCCCTGTCAAGGAGTTTTTGTCCACTCATTACCTCTCTTTTAAAAACTGTTTTATTCTTATGAAGTATTTACTGAATAATTATTCTCATCTATTTATTTATTAGTACATGTTTGCAGTTAATAACATTTACATTCCTTGTGTAGAGTCAGTTATGTGTACATAACACATCTTAATTCTTTATCATCCTGTTCCTTCCCCTCCCTCCATCTCTTTTAAGAAAGATCAACATCTCTACTTCCTATTTTCTAGCTTTTATTTTGCTCTTTATTTATAGTTTGGGTGTCTCATATCAGAGAAACCATGCTAGCTTGTGTGTCTGATTTGTTTCACTTAACATTATGGTCTCGAAGTGCATCCATTTTCCTAAAAATGATTCGAGTTTATCTTTCTTTGTGGCAGAGTAGTACTCTACTATGCATAAATACCACATTTTCTTTATCCATTCATCTGTTTTTTTTAATTCATTAATTTTATTGGTACATTTTAGGTATACAATATGCTTCATTACTGGGGATTGTACCTTTGTATAATATATCTTGGTTCTTATTTTTTTCCCTATTCCCTTCCCTCCCTTTAACCCCTCCATCCCTCCCTATTTACTTTGTTTCCATTTTTTCCTCATCAAATATTTATTCCTTTCCCTTCTTTCCTCCCCCTCCCTCTTCCCCTTTATCCATTCATCTGTTGATGGACATATGGGCTGCTTCCAAGATTTAGCTATTATGAATTGTTCTGCTATAAATACGAATATGCATGTATCACTGTAATGTAGTATTTTTAACTTTTTCAAGAAGATACCTAGAAGGGGAATAGCTGGGTCAAATGGAATTTTAGTTTTAGTTTTTTTAGTTTTTTAGTTTTAGTTTTGAAATCTCCATATTGATTTTCATAGTGGTTATACTAGTTTACATTCCCACTAACAATGAAGAAGGATTCCATTATTCCCTATGGCCTCACCAGCATTTGTTATTGTTTGATTTCTTGATGATACCCATTCTTTCAGGAGTAAGCTGGATTATCAATGTTGTTTTAATTTGCATTTCTTTAATCATCGGTGATGTTGAACATTTCTTTGTATATTTATTGGCTATTTATACTTCTTCTATGTAGTACTTATTCATTTTCTTATTCCTTTTTTTGTGGGGGGTTTTTTGGTACCCGGAATCGAACTTGGGACCTGGCGCTTGCGAGGCAGGTGGCAGAACCACTGAGCTAAATCCCCGGCCCCATTTTCTTATTCTTAATTCTTGTCTTATTTCTTGTCTATTCTTAGAAAGTTTGCAGTTTTTCCCTATTTAATATGTTGGCAGTAGGTTTGTCAGAAATGGCTTTTATCAGATTGAGATAAGGTCCTACTATACCTGTTTTCTTCAGTGTTCTTATCATGAAAGGATGTTGGATTTTGTGACAGATTTTCCTGTTTGTACTGAGATGATCATATGGTTTTTGTCCTTCTGTTTATATGATGTATTATGTTTATTTGCCTATATTGAACCATCCTTGCATCTCTGGAATGAAGCCTACTTGGTCATGGTATATGATCTTTTTGATGATTCATTGTATTCTGTGTGTCAGTATCTTGTTGAGGATTTTTGCATCTATGTTTATTAAAGAGATTGGTATATAGTTCTCTTATTTGGTTAGATCCTTGTCTGGTTTTGGAGTCAGAGTAACAGTAGCTTCTAAAAATGACTTTAGGAATACTCCTTCCCCTTCAATTTCATTAAAGAGCTTGAGGAGTATTGGTGTTAGATCTTCCCTGAAGTTTTTGTAGAATTCAGCAGTGAATCCATCTGGACCTGGGGTTTTCTTAGTTGGTAGGTTTTTTTTACTTATGGCATCAGTTTCATTGCCTGTTATTGGATGGATTATTCAGGGTATTTAAATTGTCTTGATTCAGTTTTGGTGATTCACATGTATCTAGGAATCTATCCATTTCTTCTCCAATGTATTGGAGTACAGGCTTGCTAAATAATTGTTAATAATCTTTTTTATTTCAGCATTGTTTATTGTGATTTCATCATTTTCATTTCTAATTGGATTGATTTGGGTCTTTTCTCTCCTTTTTTTTGGTTAGATTGGCTAAGGTTTGTCTATTTTTATTTTTTCAAAGAAGCAACTCTTCAACTCATGGAATCTTTGTATTTATCTCAGTTTCATCAATTTCTGCTCTGGTGTTTATAATTTCCTTCCTTGTACAAGCTTTGGATTTGGATTGTTCTTGTTTTTCTAGGGCCTTGTGGTGCATCATTAGGTTATATATTTAGGCTCACTCTTTCTTTGTGATGTGAGAATTCACAGCTATAAACTTTCCTCTTAGGACAGCTTTTATTGTGTCCCATGGGTTCTGATATGTTATACTGACATTATTGTTTAGTTCTAGAAAGTGTTCTGTTTCTTCCTTGATTTCTTCTGTAATCTAGTATTTATTTAAGAATGTATTGTTGGGGCCGGGGATTTAGCTCAGTGGTTCTGCCACCTGCCTGGCAAATGCAAGGAACCGAGTTTGATCTCTGGTACCAAAAAAAAAAAAAATCCATCATTAAGAATGTGTTGTTTAGGGCGGGGGATTTAGCTCAGTGGTTCTGCCACCTGCCTCGCAAAGACAAGGTCCAGAGTTCCATCCCCGGTACCAAGAAAAAAGAATGTATTGTTTAGGTTTGTTTGTTTTTGAGACAGAGTCTTGTTATGCAGTTCCAGCTGATCTTGAACTCACTATGTAGCTCAGGCTGTCTTTGAATTTGTTATAATTCTCCTGCCTCAGCCTCCCCAGAGTGCTGGGATTACAGGTGTGAGCCACCATACCCAGGTTGTTTAGTTTTCATGCATTTGCATGACTTCTGTGTTTTCTTTTGTCACTGATTTTTAGTTTCTCCTGTACTATGATCAGTTAATGTGCATGGTATAATTTCAGTTCTTTTTCATTTACTTAAGCTTGCTTTATTGGCTAGTATATGGTTTCTTTTGGGGAAACTTCCAT